CTTTTTCTGCAATCTAATGTTTATGCTGCACAAAATGTTTACATTTTGATGATTGCAAGTGAATGCTCCTACAACAGTGCTCCATGTTAACCTAGCGATAACTTCTCCATTTGGTTAAAACAACCATTTGAATATTGCAACAATGTTTGTGTATTTCAACAGCAATGCATCAGTCCATAGCCAAACCTTTGTTTCAGAATTGAGACCTTTAATGCTCATATGAAACAATGAAAGCAGGAGGCAGATTCTCTAAGTAACAATTGATGCATAATCAGCAATATTTTGGTTTGCTTCAGCATTTTGTTTTGCGTCTTTTCTTTAGGACTCAAAACTATTGACACTTGCAAAGGAATAAACCCTATAGAACTCAATTGATTCACGGTTGCACCATAATAACAATAATCCTTGCAGTTGATATAGCACTTTGCTATGCAAAATGTTCCTGCAACTAAATTGTTTGCTAGCAATTTAGATATCTGATATAGATATAGCACATCTGGCGTGGAGGGCGCTATATAAATCCAAGTTGTTGTTGTTATTTAAATTGACAGCACAGATCAAAGCTAAACATCTTCCCTCCCCCCACCCCCTCCAGTTTTATCTCTTTACTGAACAGTAGAACCAGAGGACACGGCCTGTGATTGAAGGGGGGTAAATTCAGAACAAATCTGCGGAAACACTACTTCAGTGAGCGAGTAGTAAACTTATGATAGAGACTCCCTAGAGAGACAGTAGAGGCAAAAAATTTTGTTTGTTTCAAGAACAAATTAGATAGATTTTTTCTGCTAGAAAATAATATCTCAGGATACAATATATAGTTTGGGACATGACGTGAAGGGAGTGCCAGAATGGTGGAAGGCCAACTAGATGGACATTGGTCTTCTTTCACCTAGAAAATGATTGTGTTCTTATGTTCATGAGTGTTTTGCCTGTTTAGGAACTCCTGTCTTAAAACCAGCAGCTAAGCAGCTGATATTTGTTATTATTTGTTCGATAGGTTACGCTAAAACTAAATCATTTGAGACTGTATAAAGAAGCAGCAGTATGAGTGGTCGTTACAAGTTGGTGTGATGGTTGGTATGACACAGGATTAGGAATAGTCAGTGGGAGGGAGTTTGATTTGCAGCTATTTATTTTGAGGGAAGTCATGGGAAGTAATAGTTTAGATGAAGTGTGACAATTCTTTCTGTTGCCCAGTCAAGGTCTGATTTGTTTGAAGTGATGTGAGAATTAGTCCCAACTTAAAAGAAATCGTACAAACGAAAGGGCAACCTCCCATTACCTAAAGAAAGCAACGAGTGGTATCCACTCTTTTAGAGCAACTAGCTGTGAGAAACTGATAGTAAGCACAGCTTTTCAGTCTCATGGAGTTCTTCAGTCTCATGGAGATGGCTCGAAGAAAAGCTTATAGAGTTATATAAAATGCTTAATGATAGAACAATGAAATCCAGAATCAATATTTTCAGATGTGCCAGGGCACAGGTATAAAAGGGACAAGATCAGAGTTAGGAAGGACAATTTTAGGACTGACTCTGGGAATTATTCCTTTACACACCGGGTAATCCACAGCTGGAACAGTTACCAGGAGAGTTGGTTGTGGCCTAGATACTAGGATTTAAAAAAAAGTTTGATGCTGTACTGGGAAAATGTTACTGTTGGTATTCTGAAAGGATAAGATCAAATGGCCCATAGAGCTAAACCTCTCTAATAACTTTGTCACTTAGATATGATTGTTATATTTTATGAAGGTAATTTGCCAGTTATATTTTATGTGTCTTCATATTCATTGTTTCCAATTATTTTTTAATATTCTCATTGGCATATGCTCTGGGTCCTGATCTCCAGTCTCATCATACTGAGCTGCAGTTGTACGTGAGCTAGTTTCCCCCCAGTACTTGCCCAAGTGGCCATTATTCTTGTGAGTGTCATGTGAGTGTCAGCAGGCCACAGCCTCCGTTCTACTGGCTACATCCCATCTGTTGCAGCAGAGGGTGGTGAAGATGGAACAAAAACAGAAACCCCAGCTCATTTTAACCATAAGAAGGACGCAGGCTATTATAACCTTCCCATGTATCCATGGCTGTAACTGGCAAACTCAGTAAGAAGGAAGCCCCATAAGCTGCAGTTATATCCATCAGGAATGAACCAAGTGTGTTTATTTTCAGTGTTCAGGTGTGGAAGGAGTTGTTAGCAGAAAGTGGGAAGCTCTGTAGTTTCAGACAGTAGCGTATGTTTTCAATATGCTTATGATGAGTGCACAGAAAAAGTATCAGGGGCATTAGGGAGAGACTAGATGGGACAGAACAAATTGGAAGATATTACAGTTTAGTCCACTTACCACTTTTCCCCATTTGTATGTTTTTAACACAGAACAATGGAAAAATAGATTATTACATTCTCTAGCGTTTTAGGACCTTACGTCTATGGTTCATTTGCAAACCTGATCCTTCCTGATGGCACAAAGCATAACAATTATTTCACACAAATGTAATGTATTTTTTCTTTGGCAATATATTGCACTTTATTTTAAAAAAGATTAGCATTTTTAGTGAAGTAGCATGAAATGTTTCACATTAACATCTTCAGATTAACATTTTCTTCACTCATTGAAAGCCATAGAATTTAAAGGCATACTTTTACAACAGCTTGCATTTACATAGCGCCATTCACGCATGGTAGTGTCTCAGAACGCTTAACAGGGCGGAGCCTAAGGCTGAGAGGGGTGAGGGGGGAAGGGACCATAGGCACAGTTGAAGAGGAAGGTCTTCATACGTGATCTGAAATGGGGAAGGAGGAGGCAAGATGGAGAGATTGAGGGAGAAAGTTCCAAAGTTTTGGGGTAGTGGCTGAAAGTATAGCTGACGATGGTGGAGGAGAGACTACAAGGGACAAGCGGGAGGCCATAGTCAGCCGAGCGGAAACAGCAGGTAGTGCAGTGGAGAGTAAGCAAGTCAGAAAGGCAGGACATGAAGGGACGTAGACAAGTGTGAAGATCTTGAACCATTTAGTGACAGGGAGCAAATAGAGTCCAGCAAGGAACTCGTGTGATGGGGAGGCAGAGTTTAGTGCGGGTGAGTATACGGGTGGCATAATCTTGAATTAATTGGATTTTGTGGATAGTGGAGCTGGGAAAACCGGTTAGGAGGGCATTGGAATAATTGAAAACATGGATGAGGGCTTCGGCGGCATTGGGTGTGAAGTAAGTTTGTGGGCGGGCAATGTGTTGGGAGTTTGTAGCTATTCACATTTTTATGTCATTCTTACATTAATGAAAATGTATATATTTTATTTTTATAGCACATTGTGAGCTATATTTTATCACCTCTGAGTGAGCATGTTTTATGCAAGCTTTTATGACAGAAGGCTGACATTAGTGCTATAAAATAAATATTTTAATTTAAATACACTTCTGAGCAGTTTTTTTCCATTGCAGCCCTAACATACGGGTACAATTTTAAATTTAAAATATAAACTGTACTGTGGCTGATACTTTTTTAAAAAAAACACAAAACATAATGTTGCTCATGCTACTTATTGTGGGATAGTAACTATAGGGGAAAATTTCTATTAAGACATCTAGCTATTCAGATTCACCTGCATTTTTAATGTTATTTAGTGTTAAGGGAAAAAGTATTACTGTTGAAGTGCCCTTGTTAGTGAGTTTGCAGTTTTGGTCACCATCAGTTTTGCTTGAATTGTGAGTTTCTTCCCCACATCCACGGCATGACCCGCTCTGCCTTCACTCATCTCCGTAACATCGCCTGACTCTGCCACTACCTCACCCCTCAGGCCACCGAAACTCTTGTTCATGCCTTTTTCACCTCCAGGTTCGACTATGCAAATGCCCTGCCTGTCGGCCTTCCCAACTCCTCCCTCCACAGGCTCCAGATAATCCAGAACTCTGCAGCCCGTGTCCTCTCCCGCACCAAACTCTGTGACCCCATCTCCCCCACTCTCGCCCGACTCCATTGGCTCCCTATCCTTCAGAGGATCCAGTTCAAGATCCTGGTCCTCACCTACAAAGCCCTCCACGGTCTCGCCCCACCCTACCTCTGTGACCTCCTAATCCCCTACCAACCCACCCGTTCCCTTCCGCTCAGCCGGCTCTGGCCTGCTCCTCGTCCCCCGACCCACCTGCCCCACCATTGGCGGGAGAGCCTTTAGCCACTCTGCCCCCAACCTCTGGAACTCCATCCCCCAATCACTCCACTTTGCCCCCTCCTTAGCCTCCTTTAAGTCCCGCTTCAAAACTCTCCTCTTCAACCATGCCATTGGTCACCCCCCTTCCCCTCCCCTCCCCTCTCCCCCCCCAACCCCAGCTCGGGTCTGAAATGCTGTACACTGTCCAGTGCCTTGGGACGTCCTCCCGACGTGAAAGGCGCTATCCAAATCTTGTTGTTGTTGTTTCCGTCATTACTATATTGCTAGCAGGGTGAAGTTCAGCTATTTCCATGGACTTGTTTCCATAATGTTATTATAGCATTGAATGATCTTAAACTACAGAAAATGACCCAATTTTATTTTCAAACCAAAATTACAATATATTAAATAGCAGTAGAAGATGTTAGTGAAAGGATTGCATATGGTAGCAAATAAAACCCGGGAATTGATTTGTTTATTGAAAGAATGTAAGGCAGGAAATGTACATTGAACACGTAAAATTGTACTAAACCTGTATTGGAAGAGTGGTCCATACTCTCTAATTTAGCAGAGTGTTTATTTGGAAATCTATAGAGATTTCAATCCTCAAGGAGGTAAGCAGTTGTATTTTGGGATTGTATAATCTAGCAATCTGGTTTTAACAAAGTTATAATTGTATTAAAAAAAATTAAACAGTCTTTCTTAGATATTCTAAATTTATATAACTTGTATTCTTTCTCAATAACTTAAATTTCAATGCCAAGGTCAATGTATTGATATTTTGGGGGAATTGTACATACAGCAAACATCTGGATGGCGGTAGTATGTTGAACCTATTAAAATATGTTTTTCATCTCAAGCAGATCTTGCTGAAATAGTAAATGGGAAGAAAATGGATTGCCAAGACATCTCCATGGAAACCCACAAACAGGCTTACTGTAAATACCATCTTCCCTCTCCAACTGCATCTATATTGGGCTTACCACAGCCAGCATGCTAACCACCATTAAAATGAATCGTACTAAGATAAAATAAAGAACACAACGTCTTGATTGGAAATGCATTATGAAATATCAGGATATATCTATAAAGAGTTGAAACACAAATGTTTAACGGATATTCATTATATAACCTGTAAATAATCCTAGCTATAAAACAGATGTACAGTTACAATCAAAGAAAAGGTAATTAACACATTTTCTGGAGATTACATTCTGTACAGAGTGTTATATGGTTATATTATTATTAGCAATCTGTTGTTTGAGATTACTGTGCACAAAGCATCTCCAGAGTTGGAAGAATCTCTCCACAAACTGCAGTAATTCAGATTAAACAAATGCACTGTACAACAGTACAACAGTTAAAGTGCAATGTGCAATGAGTTTTCAATCCTGCTGCACTAGTCTACTAGTCTACTGCTTTGAGTATATAAAACGTAGTGTTTGACTAGTCCTAGTGCTAAATCAGTATAAAAAGATTGGTGGAGTGACAATTTATTTTTGTCAACAAGTACTAAGCCACCATCCTCAAGACAACTTAAGTAATGGGCAGAAAAAGGCAAAACCAAATGATCATTTTAATAATATGACCTTTATATTACCGTAGTTATGAAATGTCACAGATATTTGGCAATTTTTTAGAAAGTATTACATTATATATATTATGCCAATGATTTGCTCTTAATGCTCATAACTTAAGATGAGCAGACCAAACTATATTTTGTGATTGTCAATCAAATAAAAACAGATGTCCCTGATCTACTCATTATCCCAGAAGTAAAACTTCCTTGAGGGTTTGCCACAATCTCGAATGCCTCTGTCCTGGTGAGTCAAACAAACATTTGACAAATTGTGTGAACAAGCCACCTTCTGTGTGTACATGCTCAGCAGGAATATCTGCATTGGAAAGGAGGATCTGGGGATAATAATAAATAATAATAATTATTATTATTATGGGATGGAGGTGATCCCAATTTTAATCCATTTATGATTCCATTTGGTCACCATAGCTAACATTTTACCAAAGATTCTTCCAGCCCTGAAAGTTGCATCATTTTAAATCTTTCTTAATCTACAGTACATGATACACGTAGTAGTGCCTAAATAAAGGGAGGGTGGAGTGAGTAGTCACAATTTGTGGCAAAGTGCAAATTATACCAAAATTGTATTTGTGCATCCCTGTTGTTGGCAAAACAGACTGGATTAGCTGCTGCAGGTTAAACATTTGATTAAAAAAATCTAGTTGGAATGTGTGACAAAATGACTTAATTTATTTTAAAATATGAGCCCTTTCTTAAAAACAAAATTCTCTCCCCAAATGGACTTTCACGACTAATGCTTTTTAACAAGAGTGCAATGATGAGGCCCAATGACCATATTTTTAAACCAAATTAAATACTAAAACTGAAAATATTACTTAATGCATTTTGTTTTACAATAGTCACATAAAGTAATAGTGACTCTAATGTAGATTTAGAGGATGCACTTCATTTGATAAAACGTTGCTTCATTTAATTAAATTGTGATGTCTAAAAATTTAACGCAAGGAAAATATAAATTTCTTTTAATCAGAAAATTAAGGGCATCTCAATACTCGAATGTAAAGCTGAATTTTAGTTTCATCCAAAGTCAGTTTTGTGTTGGTTGTAACACCAATAACCATAATATTGACATAGTAAAACTTTGTAGGAGTCCTCTTTTTAATGTAGTTTATTTAAACTATTAAATACTAGCATTAGGGACAAAAAATAAAATTGCAAAGTTTAAGACCAACACTGACCTAACTTTAAAAATCTTTTTTTAAAGCTTTAGAAGATCTTAGCTAAATCTATCCATCATAATGATTAGCAATTAGATATATTAGTTAATAGTGTGATTGGGATCTTCATTGTACTAAAAGTATATCCCATTTTCATAATAGGTTTGCCTTTTCTAAGATATATTTTATGATATAAATATTTGTATTGTTTTTGGCTTTAAACAAGTTCTAAAGCTAAACATTTTATGTGTGATAAGTTTTTTTCGATAAACTTTTTTGAGGATTATTAGTAGTAGCAATTGTTTTTAATCTATTATATTACTTTTTGGCTGCTCAACCAATTACAAGTCAGATTTACCCATGATTCTACATTATTTCTCAATAAGATACAGAAAACTGCATCACATTGACACTTGTGTAAGGTGGGCTGCCTGTTGTGATTGGTTAAGTGTCTGTTATTTCATAATCAGTCCCTCAGTTTTTAAAAACTTTTTTTAAAAAAAACTAGGATTTGTGGACTCCAGTATATTCATTACTTATCATATTGTAATTTGTTTTTCCCTTTGATTGTGTGCAAGACAGTATTTTTCCTCAAATGTATAATGTAATAGCAATAATTTCTGTTATGAAGTAGTGTACTATGCTTAAAAGCCTGTTGCATTACTGTAAAAATGCCTCACATTGTGGTCTCAGCACTTATTCAGCACAGTTTTTAAGGCCACATACTCCACCTCATAACAAAGGTTATTGCCTATTAGGATGTTGCGTAAACTTTTATTTTAACAATGAATTGATGTATCTCTCACAAGGGCATGATACATGCGTATCATATCTCTGTAGTTTTTTAATTTTATGAATAAATGATTTTTGTCTTTAATGTTGGTTCTTTTAACTGACCAGGACCATTAACCTACAGATTGGCCTTTAGCCACTATCAGATGGTGAACTATTGATATTGTTTGAATATTTTGTTTCTTGCATTCTGTAAAAAGATTTAACATTTCAGAATTGTTGTGAGTATCTCAAAGTTGGTATGCAGCTGCAATAAAGAATTCTGGTGATGTAAGAACTTGTATAGGGTATCTTGTTGGACTTATGTATATAGTAAATATGTAATAAAGCTGCCTTTATACTTTAAAAAATACATCCATGTTCAGTTTAAAAAAAGTATTTACAGTGAATACTTAAAAAATGTATTCACATGAGAGAGAATTGTGATTGACTCAGAACTATTTGCTAAAATATAAAATGCTTGCTTTTGAAAATTCTCAGCAGTGAATGCTTATATAAAGAATATATAAATTGATCTGCTGGAGTATTTTGCTCACAGAAGAATCTTCAAGCCTATTTGGGGGGAACCAACTACACTTAAATCGCTCGTGTTTGAAATCTGAAGCTTTGAGCAACATTGAAAAATAAAATATTCAAACAAATCAGAAAAGCCTGACAGTCAAACAGCAATCCCGTCAAAAATAAATTTTAATTCAAATGAGCAAAAACCTCAAAGAAGAAACTGAAAATTACTGAAGTACTTTTTGCTCAGCTTTTATTCAGTATCACTGAATGCACTAGCAGGAGTGAGCGTTAAGCACTACATTTAGACCACTGAGAGTCATGAACATTTGTGGTCACTTTGTGTGAATTCCAATCTTCATTGCTTTCACCTAACTATTACATTTGGATTGATGTTAAATACTCACAGTCAACTATCTTGGCATACAGGCACCTGAAAAGTGTTAAGATCAACATTTCAGAAAATAATTCGAAACATAATAGTGACAGCGGCCAAATTAATTTTGTAGCCATGGTATTTGATGAATTGTAGGAGTTGAAGAATGTAATGCTACACATAGCTACACATAAATACATGGAGCACAGTTAGTGATTCTTGTGCCATAGATTCAGCAATTTAATGTCACTTTGCAATGAAATTGGTCTGTCTGTACACAGTTTCTCCACTCCCCAGGTATGCAGTCCTTTGTGCTGATAAATTTGTTCCCTTGTGTACGACTGGCAGTTTATACTGTTTGTGCTTCAGTTATGTTATATGTTGTATGATTCATTGTTTTGTTCCCAAATGCAACTGTTTGGTTTATGATCAATGAGGGAAAATAAAGAAATAATTGGGGGAAAATTGTTTTATTTATTGATTTTTTGCAGGGATGTCTACAGTCCATACATAATATATCAATTTGTATATCACTTGGGATTCTTGATGAATTCTGTTTCATTTATAATTAGTTCAATAGTCAAATGAGAGAATCCAGACAAAAAACCCTTAATGAACCTGATTTATAACCTTTGACTATGAACTTAATAACCTTTGATTATGAAATTATAGTATTTCCATCTTATTTTTCATCCCATAGATGTTTAGTTTGATGTAAGAAATCTGAAGGACAATAAACCCCATTTAGCTTCCAATGCTATCTCGTGTTTAGGAAAACAGCAGTGGTAGAAAGAAAATCCTGTTTCCAAAAGCGGCCTTTAACACATTTCCTTAGGCATAACAATTATTGTGTAAACACACTATCTTCAGTTTAAATCCTAATGTATATTACAATGAAATTTTGCATGACCAATCTTGACATAATTGCTTTCATTGTGAAGATATTCATCATATATAATGTTGCCACAACGTATTAAATAAACAAAATACTACTTCCGTTGTAGGCTTTAACTCGTTAATTTTTAGTAATTCATCTGAAAACAAATGTCATTGTATTCACTTAGTAGTACCCAAAAACTTGCTTGGAAAGAAACCATGGGTAATGTTTTGCCATCAATATTTTCACAACTCAGTTTGATTGAATAACTCATGACTGAGGATATTGGATCCTCTGAAGGATAGGGAGCCAATGGAGTCGGGCGAGAGTGGGGGAGATGGGGTCGCGGACCTTGGTAAGAGAAAGAGTTCTGGATTATCTGCAGCCTGTGGAGGGAAGAGTTGGGAAGGCCGACAAGAAGGGCGTTTGCATAGTCGAGCCTGGAGGTGATGAAGGCATGGACAAGAGTTTCAGTGGCCTGAGGGGTGAGGCAGTGGCGGAGTTGGGCGATGTTATGGAGGTGAGGGAAGGCAGAGCGGGTCATGGGTTGAATGTGGGGGAGAAAAGACAGTTGAGGTCGAACAAGACACCTCGGTTCCTGACTGGTGTGGTGAGTTGATTGGTGAGTTGAAGTGTGCAACCATGGAGGTTGATGTTGCCAGAGCCTGAGGTGCTGAGGCGCTGGCGTGAGCCAATCAGGAGGGCCTCAGTCTTGTTCACATTCAACTGTAGGAAATTTGCCCTCATCCAGAACTTGATGTCCGACAGACAGTCTGTCAGGACAGCAGTGTTCCTGGAGTTGAGGGTGGAGACAGAAAGATAGAGTTGGGTGTCATCTGCATACATATGGAAGTTGACCCCATATCTGTGGATGATGTCACCAAGGGGGAGCGTGTAGATATTAAAGAGGAGAGGGCCAAGGACAGAGCCCTGGGGGACGCCAGATGTGACAGTGCAGGGGCTGGAGGAGAAACCGTTAGAGGCAACGAAGTGGAGACGGTGAGAGAGAGAGGAATCGAACCAGGCAACAACAGGTCCGTGAAGATTGAGTAAAGCGGAGAGGCGGTGTATGAGGATGGAGTGGTCGACAGTGTTGAAGGCGGCAGAGGGAGCCCTGATCATGGATGTTTAGAATGTCATTAGTGACTGACCAGGGCTGGTTCCGTGCTGTGGGCAGCGCGGAAGCCGGATTAGAGTGGCTCAAAGAGGGAATGGCGAGAGAGAAAGGAGCGGAGCTGGGACCCGATGACTCATTCCAGGACCTTGGAGAGGAATGGGAGATTAGAGATGGGGCGGTAGCTGGAGCGGAGGGATGTATCCAGGGAAGGTGTTTTCAGGTTGGGGGTGATGACAGCCGTTTTTAGGGGGATTGAACTGAACCGGTGAACTGGGAGAGGTTGATGACATCGGACAGAAGGGGGGGCCAGAAGGTGGAGCTGGGAGACGAGGAGAGAGGTGGGGTGGGATCAAGGGAGCAGGTGCTGGGTTTGAGTTTGCGGATAGTCATGGTGAGGGAGAAGGGAAAGATAGGGTCGAAGGAGGATGGTGGGTGATGGGTGGGGGATGGATCATGAGGGAGAGGTGATGTGGGGGTGGCTGTGGACAGGGCTGAGGTGGCTGAACATATCCCCTCGATTTTAGATTCGAGGAAGTCCAGCATCTCCTCACAGTTGGAGTTTGAGGAGAGGATGAGCGAGGGAGGTATGGGAAGGTGGATGGAGGAGACAGTTAGTGGTGGAAAAGAGAAGCCGGGGGTTGTCCTTTGCCTCCAAGATAACCTTGGAGTAGAAGGAGTATTTGGCAGAGGCAAGAGCGCAGCGGTAGATCTTGGTGTGGTGAAGCCAAATCTGCCGATGGACCGTTAGTTTGGATTTGGTCCAGGCACATTCGGCAGCTCGCACTTGTGCCTTGAGGGAACGGAGATGGCTGGTGTACCAGGGGGATTTCTGGGAGTATGAGATAGTTCAGGAGAGGGCGAGGGAGGATTTTTTTTTCCATGGACGATATGTAATGGTGGAGGGTTGGGAAGGGGGAAGGGGTGCAGAGGTGTTGAGGGAGATGAAGTGGTGATCCGAGATGGCTTTATCGACGATGGTGATGTCCGAGACGGTGAGGCCCCAGGTGATCACCAGGTCAGCAGGGTGGCCACGGTCGTGGGTGGGGGAGTGGATGAGGAGGGAGAGGTTGAGGGAAGAGAGGAGGGAGGAGAAGTCGGCAGAGGTAGAGCAGGAGGGGGTGAAGTGGAGGTTGAAGTCACCTAAGATAAGGAGGTGGTCAGAGCAGAGGGAGAGGGAACATAGGAGGGTGGAGATGTCCAAGAGGAAGGTGGGGGAAGGCTTGGGGGGGGGATGGTAGACAAGGAGGATTTTGAAGGAAAGTCTGGGAGGGTGGTAGAAGGTAAGGTGTTCAAAGGAGGGGAAGGTTCCGGTGGAGTAAGGGGAAAGGCCGAGAGGTGACCGGAAGATGAGAGCCACACCACCGCCACAGCAATTGGGCCGTGCAGTTTGGTGAAAGGTGTAACCTGGAGGTGTGGCCTCAACTAGTGGGAAGGTGTCGCCTGAGGTGACCCAGGTTTCGGTGAGGGCGAGGATGTCGATATTTTCCTCGACGGTGAGGTCATGGATTGTGAGGGATTTGTTAGTTAATGAGCGGACGACAATTTTTATTTCATTGCAATTGATTCCGATGGATCTTATATGCATCACCAGAACACTTATAAATGTTCACACCACTTTGTTACTATAACAACCCACAACTGGCTTTGACCGGAAACAATTGTTGCTATTTCATAATAAACAAGAGAAATCAAATTTCTGAAAGAGCCACAAGTAAAATGTCAGGCAAAATGAACAAAACACTGACATTTTAGATAAAAAAATTCAATTAGAGCAATATTTATTCCAGTAATTTGACATTTTCTACTTGCGCCTGATTTTACATTACAATCCATACTTAAAGCTCCATTATAATAATCCTTGTATGTCATTATGAATGTAACATAAATTAATACTGTAGTACAAAATAATTTATATTTATATAGAGCCTTAATAATGTAAGGGAGGACATCTCAAAGGCCTACAAAGTGCTGGGCGCACACCCGACCTGGAGGATGGGAGGCGGGCGGAGTGGGGAGGGGAAAGAGGACTAAAAGTGCGGACAAAGGTACGCTTTGAGACCTGCCTTGAGCTGCCTTCAAGAGGACATGTTTGTCAATGGAATGTCAGAATCGAGCCCACCTCCCGTGGCCTCAGCACTCCAGTTTCTGAGCCAGGTAGATCCGTGGCATTCCAGGACACTGGAGGGGAAGACCAGTCACTGAGTGCAGTGCCCTCAATAGCAAGCTATGCAGTTTTAGTTGGTTAAACTCCTGAACAGTACACCAACATACACTCTGAGGTCCAAAAGCTTTACATTTTGAAAACCTACGCTTAATATTCTCCAGAAATGTGTAAGCAGGATGCATCCTCCAGGGAGAGAGTGTGCATTCCATTCCAATAAACATCTCTGGAATTTACATGTATAGATGGGAATACTTTGCATTGGATACTCTTAAGCATGGTGATGGATTTATGCATGTATCTGGTTGACCAAATTATTGAGCAGATTATTGGAGACAGTTTTGATTCACCCATAATCTTACAGAAACTAATTTCTGCAAACTAAATCGCTCTGGGGCCTTGTCCCTCTGAGGTGCTACAGTCACTATGAGCTAATTGATGGGAATTCACCTGCTACTAGGCCATCGAGGGATTATTTTCTCTCCAGTTAATGAATGAGATACCAAAACATCATCTATATCTGGAGCACTGAATGACTGCACAATAACATATTGAGTTGCTTTGGTGGAAAAATTGCATTAACCCTTGCTCAGCTGAGTAAGTATTATTTGAAATAATATTAAAGTAATTATATCATTCAAAAAAAGCTTGCAAGGAACATTACATTACAAGCAGTACTTAATCAAACCTAGGGGCTTTTAAACAAATTTTAAAGAGAAATTAGAAAAGTGCTGAATAAAAGGTTTATGTTGACGGGTATAGATAAATTTATATTTACAGACTCAAAATCAAGTACTCCCTGATTATCCTGGAAAATACCCTTCTGGATCACAGATTGTTGTTCAAGACTCATATTATGTTTGAGCTCAACACTACAGCACAATATTAAAGGAATGCTGCATTACTGGATGTACTACTCTTTGAATGTGATGTTAAAAGAGTTCCTGTCTGTTAGGTCTGGTGGATGTTAAAGGTCGCATTGCACTATTTGGAAATAGAACAGAGTTCTTCTGCCAGTGTTCTGACCAATATTGCTCCCTCATTCAACTTCATCTAATTGCTCTTTGTTGAAAGCTGCTGATACCCACTAGCTTTATACTTGCATTTCAGCATTTTCTAGTTTTAAAATAGAAAATACATTTTTTATATTTTCTTTGCTATCTGGTGCAAGTACAAAAAATATATAATGTGTCTGGTTCAGTTGGTAGCACTCATGCCTTGGAGACAGAAGTTTGAGTTCAAGCACCGCATCGAGACTTGAAACTCATATAGACTAAACTGACTTCAATGTAGTGTTGGGGGTGTGCTGCATTGTTGAAGGTGCCGTATTCTTTGGATGACACATTAAGCTGAGGCCCCGTCTACCAGTTCAGTGGACGTTAAAGAGTTAAAGGACGTTAAATAGTCTCATGGCACTATTTGAAAAGAGAAAGGAGTTACTCCCGGTGTTCTCGCCAACAAATCCCCGAATAACATTGGTCATTCACTTTATGGCTGCTTGTGGGGCATTGCTATGCACATAATGGCTGCTGCATGCTCCTGTAAAACACACCGTCACTGCACTTTACAAAATATTCTGTGAAGCACTTTGGGACATCCTCCCGATGCAAAAGGTGCTATAACCACATGTAAGGATTATTATTTACTTTTTCAACAATCCTATATCTTAAAAAACTAAATGGCTATCAAAGAGTAGGATTTTATTGTTATTCAGTAACCTACTCCACTCATTGTTTATGCCATTCCAGAGTATTCCCTGGGCCAGGTATTGTATGTTTTATCGTGTTGGCTGTTACAAGAAGTGAATCTGACTGTAAAATACCTTTCAAGAATAAAGATAATTCAGTGTTAAGATGTGTATACAGATCCAGAAAAATCACCACAAGGTACAAATTGTCAAGGCCAAAAACACCTTTAATTAATCATCCAGTTTTTTTTCATATATTTTCTTCAATTGAAAATAGAACCTTTCCCTGCTTCCTTGATCCAACAACTGGTTCAATAGCTCCACCTGCTGGGCTCTCATTACTTTAGCAACAGAAGATCATAGGGGAAAAATCAGTTCCCCTCATTTAGTCCAGATTAAAAATACAAATACGAGAGCGAGAATTTTCTTACTGTTCAAAGTGTAGTTAATGAAACTAATCTACGGAGGTCAACAGATGGTAACCCAGCTATTAAACTCAAGACAACTACTGATTTCCTGCAAAACTACATTACAGTCTGTGAAACATCACTTTTTATAGCTACCTAAGGGATAACTGAACAGAAAATAACAAGTTAAAAAAAAACTGAAAGGTTTCATCGCTAGTAGATAATCTCATCTGAAGTGATAGTTGGGCAGGTGAATTGGGTAAGAGAAGATCAGTCAGGATACTTGCTCCTGTTTTTTTAACGTAAGGCAAAAAAGCTAAGGATCAAACTGCCCAATTACCAAACAGTGCTCTCAATGGGAAGCTCGCAGTTTTAGCTGTTTAGACTCTAGGATTACCCCAACGCACACTCTGGGTCCCATGCCTTGCCTCGCGTCGACCTGAGTCTTATATTCTCCAGAATTAGGTAAGTGGGATGCTTCCCTCCAGGGAGAGTTCCATTCCAGACAGAGGGAAATTTCCATGTGTAGGTGGTATGTGTATACACAGTCAAACAAAAACAACAGCAAAATTACATTTGTACAGCCTGTTAAAGCAATCACACTGGAACATTGCCGACAATAAACCACCTCTATTCAGTAAGCACATGTCTAACACGACAAGTGGCCATTTTTTTTTTAGCCCTATCGGTGCGCACACCTTTTTCAGTAGCCAGTTCTAAGTGAATTAAAGTATACTTGTCCGCTCCCTCCGCTCAGTGGATCCAGCCTGCTCCACATCCACCATCTGGCCCTTCCCATCGGCAATCGGGTCTTCAGCTTCTCGGACCCCATCCTATGGAACTCTGGAGACAGAGGCCATGGGTGGGATCGCCAGAAATTAAACTTGGTTTGTAGCCCAAAGTCCACTAAAAGTACCCCAATATTATGCGTTTTTTCTTATGGTGTAGCAGAGTGGCCAATATAGATCAGTGCTTTTGAAACTATAAGAAAAGGTCTTCAATGGGTGTGTGTGGGGAGGATTCTTATTAAAAACATTATAATAAAAAAATTATTTAAATTAGGCACCTGCCCAAAGCTGTTTTTTCACTCACAGCGCAACAACAATTTGCATTTATATGCCGCCCTTCATGCGGGGCAGCGTCTCGGAGCACTTAACAGTGGCGGAGCCTGACCCCGAGCTGGGGGAGGGTCAAAGTGACCGCAAGCACGGTCACAGGGGAAGGTCTTCAGTGTGATCCAAAAGAGTGGAAGGAGAAGGTAAGTTAGAGGGACAGAGCGTCCCAAAGGCTCGGAGAGTAGTGGCTCAAAGAGCGGTCGCCGATGGTGGAGTGGAGGGGACAAGGTACGAGCAGACCATAGCCAACAACACAGCGCCCTCCACACAGGGCAGCGCCTCAGGGAGCGCTTAGCTTAGCGTAGATGTGGATGGTGGAGTTGGGGAGAGCAGCACCGGGGGGGGGGGGGGGGTGGGCCTGGAGTAGCCCAGGGGGGGAGGTGATGGCGGTGTGGATGAGGGTTCACGGGTGGGGCCGTGTGGCATTGCTGCGGGTAGAACCCCCGCACTGCCCCGTTTCCATGGCGACAGCATCCGGGAAGGCCGAGCTGCCCCGCCCTTGGAAACACGTCGGTCACGGCTCCTTCTTGATTGGCTGCCACGGGCGGTTACATCACAAGGGCAGTGGCCCAATGGAAGCTGTCTGTGCTCCTCACTTCCCCCCCCCCGCCCCCCGCCGCCCGAGCGGGGCAGTCACAAGGGAAGTCCCGCCTCCCCCCCCACACCACCCGCTCCCATTGTACCGGCCACCGAGCTTCGGGCGGACGTCACGGACGCTGTGACGCGTCGGAAGAGCGTCGCGCGCGATTGATTGGCCCGCGGCCGTTGTGACCGTTGGAGAGTGGGGACGGAGGCACTTCCGGTACGGTGGCCTAGAAGTAACGCGTGAGACGCGGCGCTCGCGAGTGAGTCCCCGCCCGAGACAGAGAGTATGGGTGGTGGTGGTGGTGGTGTTGTTGGTGCTGGAGGTGAGCGGCTCGGGGTGAGAGCCGAGAGCGACAGGAGGACAAGATGAGGAGGAAAGCCGCCAGGAGCCAATATACATCACAATGAATGGCTTCCCGTAGCCTGGCCTCGGCCCCAGCAATCCCCGCCTTTGTGTGGTTCTCGCTGCCGCCGGAAACCTTTTAAAAACGCGTTTTGAAAAGTGCAAGTTTTTATATAAAATTGGCCTCCCCCCTCCCTCCCTCCCTCCCTCCCCCCCACCCCCCGCCCTCCCCCCCCCCTCTCTCTCTCTCTCTCTCTCACTCTCAAAAAAAAACCTTAATTTTGTCAGAAACTACTACTTTCAAAAAAGAAAAACACCCTCTTTTTGGCTGTTCGCCGCCCACACCTCCTGGCCAAGCCGCAGAGGAGGATGAGAGAGTATAAAGTGGTGGTGTTGGGAAGCGGCGGCGTGGGCAAATCCGCCCTCACCGTGCAGTTCGTGACCGGGACTTTCATCGAGAAGTACGACCCCACCATTGAGGATTTTTACCGAAAGGAGATCGAGGTCGATTCGTCCCCCTCCGTGCTGGAGATCCTGGACACGGCGGGCACTGAGCAGTTCGCCTCCATGAGAGATCTGTACATCAAGAACGGGCAGGGGTTCATCCTGGTCTACAGCCTGGTCAACCAGCAGTCCTTCCAGGACATCAAGCCCATGAGGGACCAGATCATCCGCGTCAAGCGATACGAGAAGGTGCCGGTCATCCTGGTGGGAAACAAGGTGGATCTGGAGAGCGAGCGGGAGGTTTCGTCTGTGGAAGGTAGGGCTCTCGCCGAGGAGTGGGGCTGCCCTTTTATGGAGACCTCGGCCAAGAGCAAGACCATGGTGGATGAGCTGTTTGCCGAGATTGTCAGGCAGATGAACTATGCAGCTCAACCCGATAAGGATGATCAGTGCTGCTCTTCCTGTGTTATACAGTAAAAAAAAACTGAAGGTAACTTTTTTGGGGGAAAAAGAGACTAAATTCAGTCAGTCATATTTGGGGAGAACTGTCTATTAACACAGCTCAACCTCGCAGAAAAGAGCTTGTTATATTTCATGTTGCTGTTACAAACGGGAGGAAATCAACAAAGGAGCTGAACAACTAAAACAGATTGGGATCAGTGCTGTTCTTCCTGTGTTGTGTAACCAAGACTGTAGAAATAAAATCTTAAAACCTAATGTTTGATTATATAAGGGAGGATACCCCCTCTTAGCAGACATCTGGCTGCCTTCTTCATATCCAATGAGGATCAATTGCAGAGAGTTTAAATGCTGTGATGATATTGTAAGGGGGGAAAAAACCCAACAGCAAATTGTACAGAAATTGACAAAAGAATGTCAGTTCATGTTTCCTGCAATGAAAGATGAAGCCAGCTTAAATCTTTTAGGTATTTATTGTACCTGCAGTATACATGGGATAGCAACCTCTCCTGCTAGACAACACATTGCAACAGAAGGGGTCAGTGCTGTTCTTCAGAGACAAAGGTTGGGGGGTGGGGGTGAACACTGGATCTTTAAACTCCCTACTGCATACTATACACGGGGAGGATAGCAACAGCAATTGCAGTTCTCCAGGAATTCATCAGTAAGCAAATCAAAGTTGCAGTACGGTTTGGTGGACACTTATGATCATTGTTGTCCTTTCACGTATTGTACAGGAGAGAGAATTGGTGAAGGATAGCATCAACTGATTGCAGCAAACTGAAAACCTGCTTACTGCTGGTCTCCATGTGTCATACAGGAAGGAGGACGTTTCCATTTTAATTCATCGTTTTATTTTCTTATATTAAGGCAGTACCTTAATGGCCACACAACTTGACAGTGCAGTCCATTACAGTTAATCTTGCTGTGCAGCCAGAAGGAAAATGAGCAGAGGACAATTATTTGGCTAAGTTTCTGTTTTACAGTGGAGAAGAACATTTACCTGCCAGACCACAGTTCATTCAAGCAAAGATCAGTGCTGTTCAAACTGTTGTATTGCAAAGGAAAACACCTTTTGCAAAGTTATTAGATTTGGCTTCTCCTCAGATGCGTCAGAGAAGATGATTGTTTTATTCGCCCTAGTTTGTAAGAAACAGTGGCAATGCCACTTCCCCCAGCATTCTAATGTACTTCATGAGGGCAAGCAATAGATACCAAGGATGATGCGCCTTTCTGTTCTATATTGAAAATGCAGAGGATGATTCATGAATGGGCAGCAGAGAGAGAGAAGAGAAAAGTCAACAATTTTCCTGCTGTGTGATACAATAAACAGGAAGAAACATGTTATTGCTGGAGGTGGAAATTGAGAATCCTTCAGTAATCCAAGTGTAACATCAGTTGTATTCCTGCCTCAATGAGATTGACAGCGATTGATGAATGCTTGCTGTCATTTTATAAAAGAAACAAAATACTGTACCACCATCAGTTTTAAGAAGAAAGTTGATGGCTGCCCAGTATTGAGGAGATAAAAGAAATCGCCTGATAAACGTTCGAGGGAAATTGCTCCAACTTGACATCTGCACTTCACTCTGCTTCTTTATGGGAGCAGAGGAGAAAAAGCCTTGTTCAGTTTCTAATCATATAGGTGAGGACAAGGAAATTGGCAAAATTGCCTCTGTGAGGTTGAGAAAAATCTTCAATCAAGTTCATAGAGATTCCGCAAAAAGTTGAATGTCCTCATAGATTTGTATTCTGGAAGGGAAAAGTTATCCCACAAGTATTTCAGTCTGATAACTAATGTGCATTATTGTGGTACTTGATACAGCTTAAGGAAATTGAATGCCATAAAATCACTTGTATTGTGTTGGAAATGTCATAAAATCTTACAATATTCAAAAAATCACTGAAAATTAAATCTGGACAAATGCGGTTGAGATTCTCATATTGCACGGTAAGGAAAATATTAATGTATCAGTTTATTCTACAGAAACAGGAACCCTCTGAATTCACCCATTGTACATGCCAGAAGATCTGTATCCTGCTTTTGTGATGCAGAAGTGGCAGAAAAATTACATATATTTTGTTTTATGAAAGGTGCTCAAATACTTTAAATATTGTGAGTTATTTTTTTGATTTTGTATCTTTAAACTAAGAATATAATGTATGCATGGCTGAATACCAGATCATTACTGAAGTCTTACATTGAAACATTCTCTAGTGCAAAGTCCGGGGGGTTATCTCTAGTGGAAAAATAAGTTTGGGGTTATCAATGAAAGTAGTAAAATGTTTGTCACTACAGTCTTATCATTTTGCTTGTTTTCAAATCAGCGATGGTTCTGTTCCAGGATTTTATTTATTTTGTAAGTTAATTACCATTACCATTGTATAGAATCAAGCAGTGGGAATTGTGTAAAGTTGCTTCAAACCCTCTTTACAAGGAGGAGTTGTTCCTGGAACCTTATCAGATCATAAAAGTTGTTACACTTGGAGCGGAGCAGACAAACCTCATGAACAGAATTCCAATGCATCTGGATTCTGCTTCTAATGACAAGATTCCCTACGGGACTAAATTGCAGGTCAGGATTAAGCATGAGTGGAAACCCAAACAAGAAGCTGGATGTCGTTGATGCATAAAAACAACTTGGTTCTCAGTTTGAAGTTTTCTCATTCTCCAGAGCTATTCAGTGGCTTTCTATAGGTGACTTCCTGCACATAGCTTTTCACATCTTCGAAGGCTGATGTATGTGGTTTGGTCGTGTGACTTGTTGCAGGAGAAGAAAAGTTGGAAGTTACAAGTGGGAAATAAGCCACAGAGTGCATGGGTGAAAGATGCTTAAAATAGCAATAGTTTTATTTTCCATTCCCAGAACAATAAACTGAAGAAAAAATGCAGTGAATGATTTGTTTTGTGCAGTGTTACAACCTGGATGGTGGGAGCCTTAGCTTGGCTCATAATGTGCAGACATTTTTAATCATTCAAAGATGTACTTGACCGCCTGGGTATATATTGGCTTATGTTTACATTTCCAAACAGTGTCTTGCGTTACTTTTTTAAAAAAATATTTACCTAAATATTCATATGTATTCACAGCAGCATTTAGTTCCCTTTTTTATAATGCTTGAGCACCGAACTGTACTTTAAGTGTGTTGGGCAACATTCTTTACAGACTAACTGGATGCTAAATCTATCTGGTTAGAGACTGAGAAAATTAAAGGTTTTATTGTTCAGAATTATTTTTGTGATTTTTTTTTAAATTCTTATCTTCAGCCTCTGGCAATGCAAGTGATCTAGCAAAGTGCAGTACTGTAATAATGGGAGATGGTTAAAGTCCATTTGAATACTGTGCATATTAGCCAACTTGTGTATAATGTAGTTCAGGACAATAGTTGTACAAAGGTCTATCTTATTCCTGTCGTGAATATAGCCAGAATTTTAATAGCTTTTCTCTGATCATTACATTTATATCCTTGAAATGTTTGATGTTGGAATTCTGAAGAAACAGTTCAATTGTTGTAACAAAATCGTAAGAGTCCTCTGACGTAGGTAAAAATGCTTAGTACCAAATGGTCACCAGTTTGAATCGTGTTTTGCTGATTTGGCTGATATCAGCCATCGCAGTAATACAAGATGAAAGGAGCGAAAAGCTGGCCAGGATTCCTGCCACTGATTATAATCTGGTTCCTTACCCCCTCCTGCTTCTGAAAAATGTAGGGTGTGAATAGAATTTGGCTTGGCCTCGACACCATACACATTTAAAGTCTGCTGATGTTATGTTACTTGAGTTATACATACACAATAGCCATATGGTGTGGTATGCAATCATGGCTAGCAAGATTTAAGTTCTGGAAAGGAGGAGAGGCAAAGAATGAAAAACTCCAGCAAGATTCTAAGACCGTAAACCAATTAAGTGCGACCCTCTGGGGGGGGGGGGGGCGAAGAGAATTGTCTACCATATTAAAACTGGCTCTTTTTAAAATGCCCTTCAAATTGAATTTTTTTTCCTGTTTCAACATCAGACCTCACACAGGAAATTTTCCTTCTAATGATTTGTTAGATGCTTTATATCTTGTTCAAAGAAAATGTTTGCCTTATTCAAATGACGGTGCACAAGTAAAACTGTTAAGATCTGCATTGAGTTTCTTCTCATTTCATTGTTCTCCAGCAACTCTTAAATGAACCAACTGTGAATGTATGCATCAGTTTTACTGATGATGTGTAGGGTAAGACATTAAATACTTAGGCCAAAACTATTTCTAAATTTGATTTAGTGCTGCCTATGATTCAACTTGATTCTAAGTCAGCAAAGGCTATTAAAAGTCTGTTTTTTAATGCAGTGTTTTGTGTTGTATTGTCATAAAACAAGAAGCCTGTTAATTAATTCCTATGGTATTAAACTGTTTAATTTATTAATTGCTTCCTTTAACATCAGCATAATTCTACATGAGCAGAAGTAGACTGGTTGGCACAATGGGCACTTTCTGAAAAATCTATTTATCTGAATTTAATTCAGATAAATTGATCTAATAAAAGGATCATTCTTTTCCATATGCTGAGATGTTTGATGTCATTGTCTACTTTCATAGAATTCTGACTAACCTTTTCTGCACTGGTGATGCAGTGTAAATTGTATTAAACATTAATTTTATTTAAATAGTGTCGAGCAAAATCTTTTTTAAAAGAAAAGCTAGTGAACTGACTGTTCATTGATTACCCTGGGCTTTCGTCTTTTGGACATGGGTTCAGATTCAGCCCAAAATGTACACTGGTCTACTGTGCAAAACAGCCCTTAATTTGTAATCTCATTTAGAGGAAAGTGAAGAGATGTAACATGTCACAGGTGCAATAAAAGGTGTTCGTCTGAGGTTGAGGCTGAGCCGCATTGATCAAGAACTTCACTCTACATGTACCTGACATGAGAATGATTGATGTTGACAGTGGTTTCCCAAAATGGGAAAGTATTTTATTTCTTAACACTAACATCTTGAGCATAGAAATTCACTCAAATGTCTAGAACCATAGAAAGGTATGATGCTGGAGGGTGCCATTCCCTTTTCTTTCACACTAACCTCTTAATATCCTTCCACTCCATGTGCTTCAGCAATTCTTTTAAATGTCCCCAATTGCCAGCCTTCCCTGGCAAACTGTTCTGTACCCTGGCACTTTCTGGGAAAATAAGTTCTTCCAAACCTCTCCTTTTACTCCCCTAGTGATAATCACAAATTCATGCTCTCTTGTCTTTAAATTACCGACCAAAGGTAAGGGTTTTTCATGATTGATCGTTTCAAATTCTGTTTCACGTTAAACAGTTCCATCATATCACCCTCAATCTTGGCTCTAATGGAAAGCGTCTTAACTTCTCTAGCTTCTTTTCATTAGCTATATGCCACTCTCTATAAATCTAATTATTATCCTTTCTATAATATGGCACTCAAAACCTGACATGATTTACCAGCCTCAAACTAGCCAATGTCTTGTACAGATTCATAAACTGTTTTGTGGATCTGCATGGAAAACTTATAAAATCTTATTTGCCTTTTTAAATATTTTCTCTCCTAGTGTGTCAGCCTATCGCAGCGGTAGCATTTTTGCATCCGAATCAGAAGATTGTGAGTTCAAGCCCACGTCGGGACTTGAAATATAACTTACTCCAATGCAGTTCTAGGGGTTTATGTCACTTATTTGGAGCTGCAATCCTTCAGATGAGATGCAGATTGAGGTCGTGTCTGCTGGTTCAGGTGCATGTTGAAGATGCCATGGCACTATTTGAAAAGAGAAGGGAGTTCTGTCCTCGGATATAATTGGTCATTCACTTCATGACTGTTTGTGGGACATTGCTACGCACAAATTGGTTGTGTTCAGCCACAAATACTCAGTGACTCCAATTCACTGTAAAATCTTATCAATTGCTTTGGAACGTCCTCCCAACGTGAAAGGCACATACCAAATTGAATTATTCTCTACCTGCAAATTACTTAACATTGTGTATTTGTATCATCGGATCCCTCTGTTCCTCCATTCCATTTTGAATACTAATACTCAGTACAACTCTGATCACTATTTATTCTCCTAAAATGCACCCCTTCACCTTTTTCTGCATTGAACAACAAAATTACATTTGTATAGTGCCTTTCACGTTGGGAGGACGTCCCAAGATGCTGAAATTATTTTTTTACAATTCTCCTAATATCTGCCTGTATCTTGCTGCACTCTTTGTCACTGTTAACAGCATTCCTAAGTTAGTATCATCTGCATATAGATATTCCTCATCTGCATTCAGATCATTGGTATACATGGAGAACAAGAGAGGTCCTAATGCTGACCCCTGAAGCTCACTAGTAACTACTCCCTGCCAAATGGAAAATCATCCCTTAATTCCCATTCTCTGCCACCTGTTCTTTAAGGATTCTGTGAGACACTTTGCTATCCTTACAACTATTCCATGTGCCTTAATTTTGGCCACAATTCTCTTGTGTGGCACCTTATCGAACATCATCCTAAAATCCAAATAACCATCTATTGCATTTCTGCTATCCACAGTTTTGGTTACCGCTTCAAAGAAATAAACAATTTGTCACAGATACAGGGGAAAAACGCTAAAAATACACATTCAATTATTGCTGTGCTAGGAAATGTTAACTACTTGCAAAATTAATGCCTTTAAATTTTGTGTTTAAATTGTGTATTTTCCATAATGATAGATTATTTTGTTTTCGTAGCATCACTGAAAGTGGGTTCAGCATACTTATTTTACCTTAAATTGCCTCTGTCGGTATTGGAGGTCTGGTTTATTCAGCAAAACTGAGTTTAGCATTCTCCCATCGCCTATATGGTCATTTTCCAGTGTCTTTTCATCCAATGCATCCAGTAGAGTTTGGTCGTTGTTAATCATATTATTGATAAGTGGGAAGTTGATAAGAATACCAATTATTTATCTGACATAGATATAAGTTGAAGGTGTTTCACTTATGTGGTGTCTGGGGGTTGTCCAGTTTGGCAAATGGTGTCTTTTTTAAGACGTTGCAAATGGGGAGAAGGCAAAAAGAGCTTCTATTTTAAAACATTTCATGATGTTGTTTGTCTGTTTTAAAAAATAATACACTAACAGTAAAACCGATGCTGGTGCCATAAAAGGAACTATTTATAGCCTTCCAATTTCAGCTAATTTTGTCTCCTGCTTTTACAAAGTGTGGTAATTGCACTTTTCTCAATCTAGTATGTCTACAATTAATGTAGATAAGTCTTCAAATTGAATCACAGAAGGAAAAAATGACCCTTTTTTGGGGGGTGTGGATGCGCAAGGAATCTTGCTCTGACAGGAATTGACTATATGAGATCTTTTTGGGGGAGTTTTTATTGCTTATTAAAATCGTGTGACAATGTGGGTTGCATTTAAGACCAAAGGTCATTGGTTCCTCTAAATACATGAATGTTCTACCTGATTCACACCAACAGTAACTATTTTATACTTCAACAGTCAATTATGTTTGTTGTGATTTAGACCACATTTGCTTTGCAGTAATTAAATGGCCTAACTATGGGGTGGTGAGTTGAACAGGCAAATTCTACGGGTGGGGGGAGAGAGAGAGACCCAAATTACTCTTCAGATGGGAGTTCTCATTGTATTCTATTTGAATGAAACGACTACACTGCCTGTGTTTGGTCTGTTCAATGATGTAATAATTTTCAGCAATGAAAGTTCTGTTGGTTCTAATGATCATTTAATCTTAGCATCGCGTGCTCTATTGTCTTTTTCCTCTTTTGTCAGTCGAGCAGCCCTTCCTAACTTCCCCCAGCAACTATAGTTGTAGAGGGATAACATATTAAATGTACTGGTTTATTTAATCCCAACTTTTCCTCTCACAAGATGAGCATCCTGACCCTGACTTCATAAACCTTAAAACAAATCGATTAAGTTGACAACTTCTATTGTTGGCTTACTTCCAAAAAAAACTTTCCCGTTTCTGTTACAGCTTTACCACAGGTTGTGATTGAGGTGTTCATCTAAAGGAAACACTAAATATAGCACGTTTATGGAAGTTCAAGATGAAAAGGACATTCTGATCATGATCTCAGAGATTTTAATGCATTTCTGGCATGTAATATCTATATCTGATTGTAATAGACCACTGATGTTTGTGTGTGTGTGTGTGTGTGTATACCTGTATGTGCAGAGTTGAAAATAAAAGCCCACCTCCATGCAGCAGTTTAAAACATGAATCAAGAGTGATATTAATCGAATTGCTAACAGTGGTTTAGTTTGAATCTGTGATCACTTTATACCATGTGGGGAAAAATTATCCTGTATGTTCAGGTGAGTAATTCGCCTCCAAGAATGTACACTCCTGGAGTGGAATCCCAAATGAATCGTGATCATATAAATGGTTTGGAGAGCAACGTCTAGTTAAACTGGGTGTGTTGACCACATACGGCCTTGATAGTTTAAAAAAACATGTTCTCAATGCATGTTGTCCAATGCTATCTCTTAATCTTTGGCAGTCTGAATTGTAACTACATATGGCATCTTTTTGTTTGTAACAAGAAAGATCAGCGTTGCAATTACAATGCTTTGGTTACTTAGTAGAGCAGTCTTGTTTAGGTAAGTAGTAAAAGTTGGCAGTTTTAATGGTTTTATATCTTTGGATGATCTTTTGATGTTTCCCAGCACAATATAGAAATGGAGGCAGCCAAACTTTCAGATCATTATTGAAGTGCGTTTTGGGCTTTTCTGCATCTGACAAAATGTTTAGCAAGTATGGCTTTCGTTAAAATTTATAAAATGTATAGGCAATAATGTAACAGCCAGGTTTATAACCACTTTACTTGATCTTACCAAGAAAAGTTGGTCAAATTGTAAGGTTGTCCAATTGTAACCACTGAGGCTTCTGAACTTCTGATTAAACATTATCTATTTATTAACAGTACCTCACTGTAGTCTAAATTGAATTAGAAGCCATTTTGCTGCTAAATTCAATTGTCTCTTTTTTTTTAAAAACTCATGCCACAAATTTTTATCTGTAAGAAATGAAGAACTCCCTAACATGATAATCTCATTGTTGAGCACTGATGATAACTGAGTAGTTCACTAGGGTAGGTTGCCTTTTAGAGACTGCCATTGCGGATCACTGTCGAGCAGTGTTCTAGGCAATATGTATTCACTCAATATATCTGCCAGAGTAACTGAGTGACTGTAAGATGATTGACTTCTCATTGGAAAAGTCATTCTTGTTTATTTCCCTTTGTAAAGAATGTTGCCTTAACATGTAAATTTGGTTTTAACAGTGCAGCAGTTGACTGATAAAACCAAAAATCTCATTCATTACAGATTGTAGGTTTTACTAAAAGATCTAATTTGCATTTATTTGATCCTGTTCTTTGTATTTGATTCCTGTTTTAATTTTGGTTTCAACATCAATATTCCCAGGGTGAATAAAACATGACCTCTTTGGTGGTTTGCTGTTGAGCATTAACACAAACTGAATATTTAACACCATCCTTTCTATCAGATGTTGACTACGGTAACCTTGCTGTTCTAATTTGAGCAAGAAGTGTAAATATAATTTGATGCAAACATGTCAGCTGTGTTCTGTTTGGATTTAAATTATTTTAACAAGATTAAATTTTATTTAATGAAACCTGACTCTTGTGCTTTCTGATGAATTCTTCTTAAATGTGCACCATTTGTTTCAGTCTCATAAATGTGTTTAAACTCGGTGATCAATGGCTGGTTGAAATTATTTTTCTCTTAAAATCAGAAGTAATTGATAAAGATGTTGAGCAGTTAATGAATGAGTTCTGTTGTAAACGTTTATTCTGTCAGAACTGTTGCAGAAGCAGTAGAGTGCAAAACTCGTAGCCCTAATCAGTTTGGCTTGTTGGTAGCATTCTTGAATCTGGATCAGCAGGTTGTCTCACAGCCAAGGCTGGCATTCCAGTGAAGTACTGCAGGAGCACTGCATGTTTAGAGGTGTGATCCTACAGATGAAACATTAAGCTGAGATCCTGTGTTTGCCTTTTCAGGTGGATGGCAAAGAATCTATGACACAATTTGAAATTGAGAAGCGAATTACACCCAATGTTCTGGCCAATAATCCTCAATCTTAATTGATTATTCACTCAATGCTGCCAAAGCATCGCTATACAGTACATCACAATATCTTGACTTGTGAAATACTTTGCTATAAAAATACAAGTTCACTATTTCTCATCCTGTAGCCTTGGCCCTCACCTGAATTTCTCAACTTTTAAATTGTTAAAAAGTTTAACAATGCCTCCTTGTCCTCCTCGACCTCTCTGCTGCCTTCGACGATGTCGACCACTCCATCCTAATACACCGCCTTTCCGCTTTACTCAATCTTCACGGCTCTGTCCTTGCCTGGTTCGATTCTTATCTCTCTCACCGTCTCCACTTTGTTGCCTCTAACGGTTTCTCCTCCAGTCCCTGCACTGTCACGTCTGGCGTCCCCCAGGACTCTGTCCTTGGCCCTCTCTTCTTTAATATCTACACGCTCCCCCTTGGTGACATCATCCGCAGACATGGGGTCAACTTCCACATGTATCCAGATGACACACAACACTATCTTTCTGCCTCCACCCTCAACTCCAGGACCACTGCTGACCTGACAAACTGCCTGTTGGACATCAAGTCCTGGATGAGGGCAAATTTCCTACAGTTGAATGTGAACAAGACTGAGGCCCTCCTGATTGGCTCACGCCAGCGCCTCAGCACCTCAGGCTCTGGCAGCATCAACCTCCATGGTTGCACACT